ACTTGCACAAGAAATCGGAGCGTTTAGTAATGTAAATGTTATGGCTTTTTTTCATCCAAGCAAAGCTAACTGAGCGTTTCAATGCAAAGTTTTGATTTTTTAGAGAAATGCGGAAGAAATCTAGTTGCCGTATTAAGCCTGCTCGAAAATTGTAACTTTTTATAGAAAAGATCATTAAACGAGAATTTTACTCAGATAAGAAGAGCGGGTCATAAACTTGGAATACCAACTGCTTTGACGACTCTACAGAAGAAAAAATGGAACTTACAAGTAGTGATTTTATTCTGCGCTTCTATCTCAGCATTTTGTGCGCATTAGAAGTGACTTCAAGTACGGATGTAAGGCGCATAACTCCTCTTCCGAATCCTCTGAGAAATCACGAAGTATGAATTCTTGAAAATGGTGCAAACGAACATTTTTTGGGCCAACCTAGTACAGGTTGTCCCAAAAAATGCGAACACTGTTTGATCGTTGATAACTCCCTTGTTTCCCTGTTTCGTCGAGCTTGAGGTATCATTCTGTAAAGCATGGTTCAACTTAGATTTACAGTATGAACCAATGATCAAACACTCTTCATTATTGTAGGATTACGGTATGAACTTTTGGCATAAAGCGCCACTGTGGAATAGGCCTTTTGATGGACAAATTCCAAAAAAAACGGAATTTTGTGTAGCAAGGTTTTCAGGCTTGCTGACTTCACTACACGATTTTCACTACTTTTTTGAACTCTTTTAATGGTGTAACTACAATTACATTGGGACAACAAATGTTACCTTGAACCTGAAATAACTTATTAAAGAAGCAAAACAGTGAAGTCCAGATTTTATATTTAGAATTAGTGGCTTCGATTAGTCCAGCACAAGAGTTTCTGGCTTGTTTGGTTTTCATTCTGAAGCAGAAACCGCTTTCACTTTCTAAAAACCTTCAGTAATGATGATTGACGATTTGGTCCATACTGTGGATCTACGTCGGACCTCGCTCTACAGAATGGCACCTCAGGCCCGGCAAGAGGTATGAAAGCAGGGGAATTATTAACGGCCAAACAGTATTCACATTTTCTGGGACACCCTGTATAATAGATCCGCAGCCAGAGCCATAGAAAGACGTAGAAAGGACAAAAACATGGAAGCAGAAAACCGCTACGTATAATATCTTAAGTTTCTGCACATTCAGTACACGATAGCAGATGTTTGACGAGGATCTAACAATAAGTGAATATTGAGTGCTTTCTATGTATTGCCAATCTTCATTTTGGAGCTCTGAGCTGCTATTGCATGCTCCTCAATAGATTTCCAGCAGTAAGACATGCAGTTTTCGGAAAACTATCCCAAAGTATCGCTTCGTTGCCCACTCTAGGTGAGATACTCAAGTTTGGGTCAGGTACAGAGTGTGTTGGTATCTCGTCGTAGTCAGTGAAGTCCGTTTTCTCCATTAGTTGCAAGGTAACTCCTTGACCCTGTAAAGGCTAATGCCTGACGGATGCAGTCGGTACATATTGTGAAGCGGGTGCGAACGGCTTGTCCGAGCATCTTTCATCATTAGAGCTCAAGCCACTTCATTTTATGTGCACCCACCTCCGTCTAGGACTAGTCTTTCCTCGGTGACGATTCTCGATTAGTGCAACCCATACTGTCAACGCGGTATTATCCGCAGACGCACACATCCCTCCCCTTGTCTGAATGAGTTGTGGCCGTCTGTCCGTCCCGTACGATTCGACACAACATTGCCGGGAAGAGGCGTGGCTTGGCGCGGTGCCAGGCCGGCAGCGCCGTCCGCCTGACCTCCGCGTCTGCTGTCTGCGTCTCCGTCGTCGCGGCGCATCCTTCATAGCGCGATCGTGACCCTCCGCAATCACGCGCTGTCTCGCGCATGAGCACCGACCGCGTCTCCACAATTTATACGCTATTTCTCTGGCTGTTGTTTTCTTTGGGCATCGCTATTTGGTCTTCCTGGGTAGTGCTCACGAGGTTCATTGGCGCGCTGCCAGAACCGCTTTCCACTGTTTTGCTGCACTTGTGTTGGCGGCGTTTCTTGGCACAGCTCCAACTCTCAGATAGCTTGCATCAGCAGCTTCTAAAGCTCCATAGTATGTCTTTCTGCTACTAAATCGTAAAGGAGACTTTGCATTCCCCTCCTATTCCACTAACCCATCCCAATCATTGAATTGTCCACTTGAATTTCCAAGCATTGGTGCGTGCGTCTGCGCTGACCACTGCGCTGCCGCAGCGTCGCGTTTGTCCTTCTTGTCAAACACCGTCCCGTTCCCGTCCGTGCATACCTGTGCATCCCAGCGGCGGCTGCCCGTCGGTGGAGCGGCTCGTGAATCGATTGATTGGCCGCGTCGTTAATCATCCCGTTCCGGCGCACGGCCAAAAAACGGAAAGCAGTTGTTCCACAGGCTTGTCGTGACTCGTTCCAATCTCCTTCTCCACCTGTATAATGTTGTAGATTCTTCGAAATCACTACCACACTGTTGCCTTCTGTAATAGTCCAATAGACGCATAACATCAAGTCAGAATTTTGAATGGTTGGAAGTGTTGTTGGCTTTTTTATTCTGCGAAAAAAGACCTATTGATTTGTTATCTCATTCGAATTGCAATGTTATCGTGTGGAAGAATTTTCTGAAGTATAAGCTTGCTGTAACCTCTCAAAGCTTCATAAAGAACAAGACAACTCTTTCAAGCTATGTGGCTAGTTTTTGGTGATTCAGCGGTACCCACGTAACCAAAATGAATAAGGCATTTAGAATCACGGATTACATAGCGCCTTTTATCCTTTCTTGTCGGATCGGATATGTTCTGCTCTAATGATGCTGTGCAGGAAGACAGCTGAAATCTGTGCTCTGCAAAAACTTTTTTTTCACAAAACTCTCTCTTGTCGTTTATCCGTTTTTTTCCTTTTGCTATCTGTCCAGGCTAACCATTTTGCTTTGTACTTGATCAAAAAAACTTTTTGCCCAAGTCCGTTGCACAGCATTTATCAGCGGTAAACCATCGAAACTTCTGCTGAAAGAAGCAAGAAATGACTAAGAATTGGGTACGAATATTAGGTATAAAGATAGCATAACGTAAAAGATATGGACAGAAGATGCTTAGTTCGAATTGGACATAATGTCATGGACATAATGTTTATGCAAACCTCGTTGAAGGCGCTAAGATACACCGATCTTCAAATGCAAACGATATAGCAGCTTACCAGAAGTAGAGTGATATTATCGAGATTGGTGAAGAGAAGTTTTGTGACTCTTTTTCCCCCCGAAATTGCTGTTCATAAAAGATTCGCAGTCTGTACGACTCCATTTCTGTAACAAGGCTTCTTTTGACTGGTTTCAAATGGAAATCCCATGCCACCTATCAGTTTTTCCGGGGGCCGCTGACCACGGCGTCGCCGCCGGCCGTTCCGCGGTTCGTTGCGGGCGCTTATCAGCAGCACGCGCACTCGCGCGTGCTTGTGGACTTTGCATTTCGTTGCACTCTGGGTTGGCGCGAGCTGCAAGTCCGGCTGCTGCAGCTGCTTCCCCCCCCCCCCCCTCCCCACAATTTCGGCACAACGGCTGGGTGGGTCAGGCGCGGGTGACTGCGACTGTATTGTTTGTTGTTGACAGCCGGACGCGTGTTCGGGTTTGAGAGCCGAAGCATGTGCACAACACGTGTTGTGTGTTGGTTTGTACCAGCCACACACACTGTTCGGTGTTTGAGCGTTGCCGCCAAATCAAGCCGCTGGCGGATTTCCCTTTTGTAGCGCTGCAATCGAAACCTCGCCCCTCGTATACACCAGCCCTCCTGCTTCCGGATTCCTCTTCCAGCCTTTCAATCAATTCAGCCCAAAGATTCGCAATTATGAGCAGACCTAGAACAAGTCTATTTTCATCTCGACTTACTCTCACTCAATAATTCCTTTTTTTTAAAGCTCTGTCTTTTTCACAATCTCCAGGGCATCCTTCCATCTTTCGACAACTGTTGAGTCATCATGCTTTTGGCTGGCAATTTCAACATTGTCATAGTGTTATTGCATAACCAAGGCCTCATCCGACTTAGACTGCCCTTTTTCAGTTATCATCGAATCATTTCTAACTTAATACGTCGACTGCACTGCATGCGCTACATCACGGCTTTTCTAATTAGAATCCATCAAATTTTAGGGTTTCTTCTTTTCTTCTTTCATTAAGCTTGACTGGATGAACATGATATAGTAGTACGCAAGCACATTTTGTTTTGCTGTGAGATGTCGTCGGTTGCCGCGTGCAGTGTGCAGGTTCGTATACGTTACGAATGACATGCGCATAGCTCTTGCGTAGATGATAGTAAATAATTTGCAAATGTGAGTGTCAATTATTCTTGGGAGATGGTTATTATATTTATTAACGTCGCTTTTGTAAACTTCCTGTCAGTATAGAGTGACAGCAAGGTGTTTCATCCTCTTGAAATATTTTTGGTGCTAGAGTCCACAAACTGCAACTTCCCGATAGAATTCCTGCGCTGTTCTTGCAGCTTATGTCCATTCTCCACTTAGTCGTGAGTAGCAGCAAAACACGTTTGGTCGTCGACCTCTTGTCAGTTCCTATTCCGAACAACTGTGCGCGACCTTTTTCGCTGTGCGATTTTTGTATTCGGCGACTTTTCGGTTATTGGGGACACCCTTTCATTGCACGGCAAAAAGCCCATTGTCCCACATAGCACTTCTTACCCATCCCACATCCTAGACGTCGTCGTAGAAATGGCGCATATTGCTATCGATCATTCATTCTTTTGATCTAATTTCTTGAAAATCCACAGGCATATAGGCTTGTTTACTTGCTGGTGAATCATCATGCTTCAGTATTTGTGATTTCGTCATTTGTGCTGTTATGACGTGAACAGTAGTGCTTCCTATCTGACGATTCACATTGCACTGTCATGTTTGAAAGCTTATTTTCTTAGTGTCTTTTTTTCATAGGAGATTTTGGATGATAACCGCCTCTTCAAAGAACTGAAGTACTTTTTTGAACTTTAAAGGATTTTATGCTACTTAATCACGTGACTTTGAGCCTTCTTACGAAGGACTACATCGCGTATATTTTTCTTGCTGTGTTAGGTCAGAGGTATGAGTCACCCACTATGTTCCTTTTGCAGTGCTCGATCTTGAAAGAGTTCATCGCGAGAGGTTGCTACAAGTGCACTTTTCTCCTCAGCTTCACCAGATCCTCCTCCTCCTCTCAGGTGAGATCGGCCTCTGTTCGTTAGTTTTCCCTAATTCGCAGCGTGTTCCGGTGCCTCTCTTTTGCCCCGACTGCTCTCTTTCTCTGCGCTCCGTGGGTCATGCGCCTCAGCACCGACAACCTACTGACCCGTTGTTTGTGGCTTGATCGGCGCTGCGTTGCACTTGACCAATCGCTATCACAGTTACTATTTGGCGCTAGAGTCGTCTTTTGTCCTATCGCTATCTCTGACGTGGGAAGCTGCGGCCTCCTGGAATAATTTGAGACTTTGCACGGATAGCAAGCAGTTTTTGATATGGGGGAGTCAGTAAGCAGTCACTTTTCCCTTCGCTATGATAGCTATGCACTGACGTTGTGGTGATAGCGATATTAAACGGTGTGATGCTTAAAACACTCCTCAACATAGCGATTTCAGTTGGGGTTGCGAAGGCTGGGCGACTCGAGCGATGTCCCCAGGTCAGAATCCGCAGCAACAGTACGGAAACAACAGCTACACTACAATGGCACAAAACGGACAAGCACAACAAAACAGGAATCCTTTTCAGCAATATGTGAGTTCTCATGCTTGCTATCTTGTGTAAGTCGCAGCTAGGTTGTAAAAATATTGTTTGAACAGCTCTACTATGGGTGCTGCGTTGTTTTTGTGGTAGCGACCCATTCCTCAGCGGTGTCAATGCATCCCTTTCTTTCTAACCACTGATCATGTGCTGAGCATTCACATATCGCATTGATTTTTTCTCCACTCCGTCTGTACACCGTGTTTGACTGCTTCGCTTCTTTCTGCTGTTTTTTCCTGTATAGGATTTCCAACATAACATCACAGTACAAGTCTTTTTAGAAATCTAGTATTGAGAATGAGTCTGGTCATCTTTCGTTTTTCTCCGCATTTGCAACAAATCTGTTTTAGAGCTCGGGTCGACCATCAGCAGGAAACAATAACATGTTCGGCGGAGGAATGCGAATGGGAGTAGACTCGCGAACGGCCTACGCTCCACCACCAAGAGACGACACTCCTTTACAGGATGGTACACCTTTGAGCTCAGTAAGCGTTCTTATTTGTTTGAAATTTGTGTGTAAAAGAATTTGATGGTGCTTTTGGTTTTGCGCGTCTTTATTTTTTTCATTGCCTTGTGTAGCCATAAACATTCTATCCATTGTATACTTATCGCTAGATAACTTTGAAAAACCGGTGGTTTGCTCAAAATGCTAGTCTGGACTATCCATCTCACATCCTAAGTTACTCCTCGTGCATTTTGTTGCTTTATGGTTGCAGTTGTTAGTTATTGTGGGCTGAGATGCTCAGTTAAGGGAACAAAAAAGAGTGTTGTTTGCAGCAAGGAAGGTTGAGGAGAACCGCAACTCTTAGTAATTGTAATCACCATTATCTTGATTTTCCAACTTCGACAGAAGTATGCTTTACTGGCTCCACAAACTTCTTCATTCCCTTTTCAACCATAGCTTGCATGAGACCTTCCTCCGCACGACTTACGCAATGTTCAAAAAAAGAAAAAACAATTTTATATATGTGTGTCTCCGAGGCTTTCCGAAATATATTCTGTTCAGACCAACTTGTACATACGCGGTCTTAGTCCGAGCACAACTGATGAAGATCTCAGAAAGATGTGTCAGCAGTACGGTACTATCACTTCAACTAAAGTGAGTCAACGTTGGCAACTGCCTCATGCATAATAGCGAAGTTTTCTCTATTTTAAGTAAAAAATTTTTGGACGAGAAAATCTTAGGAGGAGCAATTCTTCTATATTGCAATTCACTGTTATTTCAAAGTATGAATTGTAGGCTATTATGGACAAAGCTCTTAACCAATGCAAGGGATATGGTTTTGTGGATTTCGAAAGTCGCGAAGCTGCCGCTCGCGCAGTGGAGATGCTGACAAAGAACGGAATACAAGCACAGATGGCCAAAGTAAGATGAAGATAGATTACAGCGTTATTTTATACTACTTTTAAAGTGATATCTGTCCCAGTCAACGGTTGCTTGTTTGATCTTATCTTACTTTTAAGCAGCTTCAGCAACAAGAACAAGATCCGACAAACCTCTACATTGCTAATCTTCCTCCGAATTTCAACGAACAAATGTTGGAAAGTGCTCTGAGCCCATATGGGATGGTAATTTCGACTCGGATACTACGAAATGCAGATGGAAATTCCCGAGGTGTTGGCTTTGCTAGGATGGACTCGAAGGTGCTTTGCGTGAATTCCAAATGGTTATTGACTAATTTATGCATCTTTTAGGAAAAATGCGAAGAAATCATAGCTGCTTTGAATGGAAAGTTAATCGAAGGAATGGATCCCAATGCCACTCCATTGCTGGTAAAGCAGGCCGATACAGGAAGGAAGAACACGCGAAAAAGGAGCGACATGGGCTTTGAACTCGGAATGTACCCTAGTCAGGTAGGGGTGTTCGTTGCCTTTCTTACTCGTGTCCTATCGAACAGTTTTTCCAGCCGTTCACAATGACAGCTCCCCATGACTACATGAGAAATATGGGAGGTATGCCACAGATGTATCCAACACCATATGTAAATTATGGTATGGGATATCCTCAGCAAGTGGCCGGATATTCGCGTGAGTTTTTCTTGCTTAGAGTAAATGTCAAACTAATGTATTCTGTCGAATGTTTTTCCCCATCAACAGTTTTCTGTTCTAGCTTACGATGTTAATGCAATGACGAGTCAGATGGGTGGTATGCAGATAGGAGGAGGGGCACCTCCATCTGCTCAGGATAACGTGTATATGCTTCAACAAGGTTACTTTGTCAACAGTAGAAAGGTAAAATACTTCGTCGTAGCTTTCGAAAGGATTTCTGTAACATGGTCGATTCTTATCTAGCAGTACAATGGTGCCGGTCAGTACGACGTTATGCAAGGACCTTCTGGCAATGGAAATGCTCAAATGGCAGCAATGCATGGGGGACAGTACGTACAACCTGGTGATGAAGACCCTTACAGAAAGATGAATGGTGGCCAGGTAGCTTTTTTCGATTCGAATCAAAGAGTGTCATTGCTTGCGCCATAGGCCTCGGGCAGAGTTCACGCGATTTCATCGTCGCGATTCACCGCGACAAGACAAGTGTTATGAGTTCATTGCATGCCGATCTTTTTTTATCTCGGTTGTGATAGTTAGTCACGATTTGTCGTGTTGTGAAAACTGTCACAACCGAAATGCAAGAAGATCGGCATGCAACGATATTGCATTGTCTTGTCGCGGTAGATCGCGACGATGAAATCGCGTGAACTCCGTCCGAGCTTGATGGATTTTTCCTTCATGTTCATTTGAATGACAGCGCTTGTATTTTCACATCGGGCATCGGCTATTCAGGAAATTCATATTCCCCAGTTTTTTCTCAATCGTTTTTTACCACAAAACTATGATTTTTCAAATTTTGCCACTACGAGTACCAATTGGATGACCTTAATTGCAGAGTCAACTCCAGTGATCGATTCTGGTCAGTGCGTTTTTCTCTTCCGATGGTCTCGTCGGTGTATTCGCACCTAGGAATTGATGAAACTACTTGTCAGCATTGTCGTGTTGTGGTCGACCTTCGAGTAGAGACTTGAATCAGATCATATTTACCCATTTTAATAGCAGTTTTGTGCTAGAGCTTGTTCGCTCACTGCGTCGTTGTGTTTGTGTCCATACTGTACTTGCTGCGCCACCTTCGTTTTTCTCATCCATCCACATTTAACCGATTTCATATCTAGACTAATTAGCGGAGACCTGGCACATTCATTGCGCGCGATTCTCTTATACATTTCGTCCTCGTTTCTCAACTGGTATAGGGCCCAGCTCATGCAGAATACCGTCGCGACTTAAACCCTTTATCTGACGTACATTCGTCGGCACGGTGGCACTGTGTCATCGTTCTGTACAGTTTGTTGTTCCACACTACTCATACTTGTTTGTTGAAACGTCGCACCACACATCTCATACATAGTTCGTTGCGTTATACATTGTATGTGTTCTTCTTTTGTATGTTTCCAGCACCTCATCTCCTCACAGTTACGAGGGCATGCGTTCGGGTCGATATGTCATGACATCTACGAGGACCCCGACGTCATGTTGGCGCACATTGTATTGATTTGTTTCCATCTTTTACATTGTTTCATTTCATGTTTTAGCTCTCAATTTGCACAACACGATATGCTGTTCTTGATTCCCTTTGATTTCTCCTTTTTGCGGAGCAAATGTACACTTCCCTTGCCTCGTTGTGCCTTGGCTCTTATGGTTTCGCTCTTTTGTCCCTGACACTAATAAGTTTTGAGATATGGGAGAGTGTTTATGGCTATCCTTTCTGCGTTTCGAACGTGGTAAGCCCATCATGTTATACCAAGAGAGTTCTCTGAAATGTCTTCATACTTTGTAAATAAAAAGAAATAAAGGTTGATTGGAGTTGTATCTGCATTTGTATCGGCTATTAGTGGAAGCGTTAGGTGTTCATCTCATGACAGGATTTGATCTGCTTATCTAGCTTTCAGCTCAAAAAATTGAAGTCCATAGTACTAACTTGGTAAAACTACTATATTCTTCTTGGGATTTTTCACGTCCACGCGGAAAGTATAGCGATTCATAGCCCGCACAGACTGGACGCTGTTGTTCCGGCCAAAACATATCGTGCACGGGAGAGAGGACGACAAAGGGGTGGGAGAGTGCTTGATCAGGACGCCGACAGCGTCCGTAGTGACGCCCTGTCTTTGCCTGCGATGATTCGCCTATGTGGTGCATCCCCCAGAATTGTTCCCATATGAACCATCAACGTGGCTGTCTTTCGATCATTTTGACATGTTAACTTCGAATAAGCGCCTTAAAGGCACCGTCTACCCAAAATGGAGGTTGGCGAGATTATGATGGCATACTAGTGTGGGCCCCCACACTAGGCAAACCCCCAAGTTTCGCCGCAAAAGACTGTTTCTGGAGCGAGAAATCCGCTCCGGAAGTAGCAAAGTAGGCAGGGGGACCCCGGTCGCCCTGCCCACTTGCATGCTTTATCTCGCCTGCGCTTGGTGCAGAGGGTTCTCGAAACAGCGATTTTTGGGGGTTTCGCGGATTTTTGACTCCATAATCGAAATCAGGGCTTTCAGAAGGCCTGAAGGCGACAAAAACATTGAATTCGAGATTTTGGGTGGACGGTGCCTTTAAAATTGCTTGAGTTAACGTGATAAAACGATCGAAAGATGGCCACGTTGGCGGTTATATGGGAACAGTTTTGGGGGATACACGATAATCAGATACATCTCTTGTCGAGATTACTAATAACGACAAAAATCCACGAGTTCTTTGGACAAACGCTGCCACTCGGCTCCAAAGATGGATTAACCTCCGGCTACTCCGCAATCGCTTGCCTCACAATAATACCTATTACTTCCTATCCTACTATAATAACGCGCTAAGGCCGTCTGTTTTTTTGTGTGTCTGTGTGTCTGTGTGAAAATCTGTCTGTCACGAAATTCATAGAGGAAGCTGCAACTAAGCTATCGGGCTGAAATTTTGCATAGCATACCGTGCCAGCGTGTAGGCCCACCATGCACAAGGACGAGCCGGTTCGATAAGCGGGTCCCTCAAAATTTGCGCGTCAAACGGGTCCACGCGCCTTTTGGCACGCAAAACTGGGCCGCTAATTCGACTTTTTGCAAAGTTATGATTTGGCTGGCAAGTAAATTTGCGCTCTATGAATGCTAGCCCACAAAGTGCTCAAAAACTTTGCTCTTCTGCGAAAACAGCGCCAAAAATTGATGAGCGCGTAGATAGTCGCTTTGGCAAGGTTTTACTTGAAAAAACTGAAAAGATTTTTGCACCGAAATGTAGCCCTAGGTGACTGTTATCCTTATGACGATCATCAAACTAGAATAAATCCAGTAATCCTTTCAAATTCGCATTTGTTTCCTTGCAACAAAGTTTTTTTTCCTAAAAATTACCGATCTTACATGCAGATGCTTCATGAATGAACATTTGTTTACGATTAGTTTGTGATGCTCAGCATCGCGTGGTAAGTTTCAAAGCCATTCTCATGCGAACATGAGAAAGGCATACGGATAGGGAGCCAGTGCGAACCTCCGCGAAGCGGAGGTGACGAACTGGTCCTACTATAATAACGCGCTAAGGCCGTCTGTTTTTTTGTGTGTCTGTGTGTCTGTGTGAAAATCTGTCTGTCACGAAATTCGTAGAGCGTGTTCCAGCCAACGTCCTGAGCCCAAATTTTGCATAGCGCACGCTACCAACGTGAAAGCTCACTATACAAAAGCATGAGCGGATCCGTTGAGTGGATCCATTGAAAATTGCGCGTCAAACGGATCCACTTAGCTTCTGGCCAGCAAATTTGGGCCGAAAGTACTACTTTTTGCAAAGTTTAGAATATATTTGACAAGCTAATGTGCAAACCATGGACGTTAGCCTAAAAAAGTAATGAAAAGTCTACTACTTTACGAAAATAGCGCCAAAAAGCATTCGCTGTGTAAACGGTCAATTTTTCAAGATTTTACCTAATCATCTGAGAAGATTTTTGCTCAGAGATGTAGCGCACTATGTTTACTATCCTTATGGCGACTAACAAGCCATAAAAATTCCAAAAACGTATCCAAATTGGCATCTGTTCTTCTCGGAAAGATTTTATCCACGCGAAAATACCGATCTCACATGGAAAACCTCTACGAATGAGTAGTTGTTTACGAATTATTCGTGATAGCCTACATAGCGCGGTGAGTTTCAATTTCATTATTATGCGGGAATGAGTAAGGCATAAGAAAGTAGCGCCAGTGCGAGCCTCTGCGAAGCAGAGGTGACGCACTGGTCTTATATATAAAGCTGAATGTCTGTTTGAATGTCTGTCTGTATGTCTGTATGTATGTACGTATGTTCCGAACAGAAAATTCCATTTCTGAACCGATCCGGACCAAACTTGGCACACATGCACTACGGGCCCCGGCGGGTGTCATAGGCTACTTTTCGTCATCGATCGATATCGATTTTATCGATTTTTTGCAAAATTTGAGCTACGGGGCTGGGAGTTGGCACAGGCGGGTAAGTGAGTATGGGGATTCCGAATACAATATTAGTTTTTAAAATCGTGCATTACTTTTATCGATTTTATCGATTTTTTTGCAAAGTTTGAGCTACGGGGCTGGGATTTGGCACAGGGGGGTAATCGGGCATGCTGATCACCCCCGTGGGGGTGATCAGCATGCTCGATTACACCCCTCTGCCAAATTCCAGCCCCCTAGCTCAAATTTTGCAAAAAATCGATAAAAGTAATGCACGGTTTCGGAAACTAATATTGTATTCGTAATCAGCATGCTCGATTACACCCCTCTGCCAACTCCCAGCCCGTAGCTCAAATTTTGCGAAAAATCGATAAAATCGAAATCGATCGATAACGAAAAGTGGACTGTGACACCCGCCGGGGCCCGAAGGGTATGTGTGCCAAGTTTGATCCGGATCGGTTAAGAAATGGAATTTTCTATTCGGAACATACGGCGGAGCCGGGTAAGCCAGCTAGTTAATAATAATATCTAGTACTTTATAAAGTCTGTGTCAGTCCTTTTTGTGTGTTGACTACGCAACGCGAGATTCTTGCGTGCGGATCGGCGATCCATGAGACTAATTTGAATGCCCAAGCCACACGCGCGCCATCGTGGTAGAGAACCATACGTCGCCGAAAGGGGGCCCCCGCGCTCATTTGCAACAAATACGCGCCCTCGCACATAGGTAGGTGCCAGAGTAAGCGAATATTTTGTTCAGCTTCGTTAAGCTGCAAAAGGTGCACAGAATTAATGTCTGCTGCATAATCTCTACTGCTGCCAAGGCCTGCTTCAGCTGTAGGTCCCGCGTGGAATCAACGTTAATTTTGTACGCCCTTTGCAGCTGAACGAAGCTGAACAAAATATTCGCTTACTCTGGCACCTACCATACAAGGAGATGCGTTTTCGCAATGAGTTTGCACGGGACCTTATCACATTCGGCGGTATATAACCTTTGATTCAACTGGCTTAGCGGCGGGTGAGGGACTAAATGTTGCCGGAAGTGGGAGGTCCCGCACATGTGCTACAAATATACATGTCAATACATGCACAGGCTAAGTATCTACTGCATTGTCCGCGCGGGAGAGTGCAACAGGTTCATGAAGTGAGCTAACGCTTTTGGTTGAACCACTATCAAGTTCTTGAAAGACATCTTCGAGGTCGTTAAACATCGCGAGTTCATATTCATTCACGAAATTCTGACGGTAATATACCAAAATGAGTTGGAACGCACTCGTAAACTTCTTAATCAATGTGCAGGGCGTGTGTCTCTTAGGTCACAAAAATAACAGCGAAAAGTAACCACAATCATCTCAATTATCTAAAGCAACAGGAGAATAGCGTGTATATCTCTCCTCGCTCCATAATCTGATTCCCTCGATGATTTTGAACTGATCAATAAACTGCAAGATGGTAACAAAACTATTGTTAGGTGTTGTACACAGTAGGCACATTAGGCACAGTCAAAAAGCACAATTGATGCTCATGTTGTGTTTTTTCATGACGCCAGCAGCTCACTGTAGCTTCATTATCAGAGTACCGTCAGT